AATGGGGCAAGTGTATGAACTGAGTGGACACAAACCGTTGGTTATTTTTGATCTATTCACTGCTGTGACCAATATTCGTGTTTTGTAGAGGTTCTATTGTACCATAAGCTTCTTTGTTTAGCCCAGCTGTGATCAAATATATGTTTTGTGGAAATGCTGTACAATTCAAGATCTTCAAAAATGAATGTGAAGCTTTGAAGAAGATCTCTCATGCAAATGTTGTCCGATTGTATCAATATACAGAAGAAGGAATAAAAGTGGGAATTGTAATGGAATATTGTCAGAAGGGATCACTCAAAGGAGGTTGGGATTGGACTGGTATTGTTATATCTTAGAGTTCAGTGATTCTTGATCCAACAATGACGTATTCAATGAACACTGTTCTCACATGGGGAATCCAATTATTTGATGCCCTGGATCACATGTATCAGAAACATAAATTGGTACATCGAGATATTAAACCAGACAAGTAATATTCAGTGGTATAAATCTCGAAGTCCAATTCATTTCTAGCATTTTTGTGACCAATGAATACCAGCTGAAGATTGGTGACTTTGGATTGGTGAAAGTAGTCGGAGATGGAACTGTTACGGGAACATTCGCTGGAACACAACGATATATGAGTCCACCTGAGATGAAAGAGGATGGGTTACAGCGGGATGTTTTTGAACGAATAAAAGATGCTGATGTGTCGGTTAGTTTAAGATTCTTTTCTATCCAATGATAAGACATGTTCATCCCAGAATTCCCATCGAAATGATGTCTACAGTCTGGGACTTGTTATGTGGGAAATCATCGAAAGGAGGTATTCATGTTTAAATAGTCACCTCCTTTGAGATATAACTAAAACTTCGAAACAACATTGTTATTGTTTTAGAGCCATTTTCACAACCTATGAGATATCTGGAGGATTTGATCGTGAGCAATTATTGTTTGATATTGCACTCAAACGTGTTACTGAAATCGAATCACCTGAATGTCAATCAGAAATTCAAAAAATCATCTTGAGGTTTGGATTTAAGATTTTTTTTATATTTGAAGAATTCACTTATCAGATGTACTAACTTTCAACGTATTCATCGTCCACCAGCTTCTGAAGTTTTGGATTTCCTTGCTCAAACGCAGAAAGTAAGATTTTCCAAAAGAGGTAGAATTTCTCGTCTGCTATGATGTTGAGTTGGAAAGTATGGAAAGTACGCAAATTTCCTATCACTTATTTTACCATTATGATGAACAGAATTTTCATGCTTTTTGTAGAATTCTTAGGACTACCAAGTATCAAAGTTTCAGAGTCTTTTGTGGTAAAATAACTGAGAACGGCCGCATTAAAGGTGTTATGTTTCCGTGCAATGTAAATCCGTGTTCCATCACAAAAGTTATTCTTTCTTTCAAAAGATATATAGAGAACTTGAAATCAGCTAGCTATAAAATTTCAACCATATTTATGTTTAAAAGAATTAGAAAAGCACTTCTTGGTGATGTTTTTCACGCCGACCTGCGGACAAACATCTTCAAAATAGACGCTCTCTGAGTGAAAACAGCCTAAACGCCCACTCTCTGGCATAGCTATCTTTGGTTTCCATTCTATCTATTTTAATGGTAAAATAGGTGAATAGGAGTAAAGGAAATTTCGTGGTTCAAACAACGAGAACAATACTGGGGAAAAGCGAGTTAGTTTGTAGAAATACATTTCATACTGGGGTAATTGGACCAAACATAGCCGGCTCTATGCCAGAGAGTGGGCGTTTAGGCAGCATACTTTGAGAGAATACTTATTTTGGAGATGTTTGTCCGGAGATGGTATTCCTAAGAATTCTACATAAACCATGAAAATTCTAGTTATTTTGGAGGTTATTTTAAATGAGTAACTAGGAGTAAATGGGAATTCGCGAAGTTGCATACTTCCCAGCCGAATAGTTGAGTAGGTTTCTTTTTTTGAAGTTTAAAACTTCTCAAATATAATAACCTAGACAAATCAATTCATCTCTTCACTCCCTTTTATGCCCACAGAAGATAAAAACCAAAAAGAACTGATGAAACCAATTGGATTTGATGATAGAACAGAATGGGTTATGGTTGAATCTGTGGAAAGAAGATATATAAAGAGATTCGAGCAAGATAGAAATTGGGGCTTCGAAAATATCACCAGAATAATGCGAGATAAACTCGGGACACTAAATTCCGCTGAAAGAGACAATTTCTACAAAGAAGCACCAATTATTGTCTCAAGATTAAAAGAAGAAACTCAGACATTCAAAGAGGCTCGTTATGTGATTGGGGAAATATTGAGGATAGAAGGAGAGAAGGAAGATCTACATGAAAAGGATATTTATGAAATATTTGAATTGTTTGTTTTGGGAGATTTTGTAATACAGCTCTGCGCAGAAAACGCGGCTTTCTTAGAACTTAAAAGTCACGAGGAGCTTTGGATTACAAATTTTGACAATTGGTGGATCTGTGAGAAATCTGTTAACCGTTTGAAAGAAATCAAGAGAGAGAAATACACAACAAATTTCTATTTTCGACGTTTTATTTCTCAATTGAATGGTAAGGGATGGATTCATATAGAACGGCCTGACATGTTTGTATTGAGACCGAGACATAGACCATACAATCAGTTTGTAAGTGAAGACAAATTACGGAAAGAAATACCAGGACAATGGGTAGACAATCCAAGAGCTGGAATCTGGAGCTATGAAATTGAAAATGAAGACAATAAACATGAAATGCTTCATTTCTCCCATTACGAACAAATCCCTTATGAACGAATAATTGAAGGATGTAAAAACCAAGAAAAAAGAATGGGAAGTATCATAAAATTAAACCTGAAATACCTGGTTCCAATAGAAGATTTGGAGAAGAATAATGTTCCATTTAATATTGGATCAATTCTCGATGAGTCTTCTGAAAATAAAAGATGTATTGTATCGGCCAGATCTTATTGGCCAGATTATGAGCCCTATTCCTTCGCCCACCACATGTCCCATAAGAATAATGTTCCATTTGATATTGAATACGTTATGGCTTCTGCACCTACAAGATCTTCTGAGCCCTATTCCTTCCCCCACTACCTATTCCAATTAAGAAATCCTCCTCGTCCAATTTGTCAAAGGAATCATTCAGGGAAATGTCAAATGGATGGGATTAGAAAAGTGAGAGGATGGCCAGATTTACCAAAAGAATTGCACATTCCGGTATGTGGTCAAATCACACAAGATGAGGTTTCGGTTCTGAAGAGTTACATGAATCGTATAGGATCTAATAGAGGTTTTACTTTTGATTTCATGGAACAACCAGTTCTATTTCTTTGCTGCCAAAATCTCTTAGATCTTCCATTTTTGATTCTCTTGGATCATCCAAATAATTATGAAAATGGGGAAAGTATTCCTGGATTAGATTTCAACAAGAAACTTCATCATATTGAGATTGGAGTATTGAGAGAATACTTTCAAGAGTCGAAGCTCAATGAGAGGGTCTATGCTTTGATCAAGGGTCAGCATTGGACATCCTACATCCGCTTGATTGATCATCAAGGGAATCTAAAAACAAAATGGCTTGAGTTTAAGAAAGTTGCCGAATTCGGCTTCGCATTCGCTGACCAACAGCAAAAGCTAGACTTAGTAGTTTAAGATAAAGAAGTTACCAAAAGAAGTGACTAAAAAAGAAGGGCCAAGAAAAAATGCTGATTGCTCTGTATCCTAACCCTTGTCTTCCCAACTTTTTTGAATTCTATCTGTCTTTATGTCACTTCTTTTTTTCTTTTTCTTCGAATGAGTCAAGGATTTATTCAAATAGAACATTGAAATGAAAAACCCACCATAAAACGGTTTCCTGTTTCTTTTTCGTTCTGTAGATAGTCATTTACATCCATAGTCAAATAAATTTATTAGCCTCATTTATATGTTATTACTAAACGCAGAAAAAAAGAAGAATATGCAAAATTCACAAATGTACAAGCAACAATGAGAAAAGAAAAAATGAGTACCAATAAATGAAGGAAACCCGTAAATGGAAGGAGACAATAATAGGAGAACCGGTGTATTCATAAAAATGGGGAAATATGAGAAGAATTGAGTGCTGAGCTGTGTTTTTGGGAGTTCGATGTGAAAATTGGGAAATTTTTCTTTAGAACGGTACTTTACCTTTACGGTAGCTTTGGTCTCATTTTCCTTATGGTCACGTCTTGAGCTCTGTAATATACTTTGTGATCAAATCTAATAAACATGACCTTTCTGGTGCACCGATTTCTTCATTTTTTTTTTGCAACACCGATTCGAGCACGCCAGAAAGCATGTGTTTACAACACTTGATCACAAAGCAGACAGTGAAAAAGTACCGCCAGAGCTGGGTAGTTTTCGAAGATCAAAATGAATTTGTCCTCACGATTAGCAAATTGAAGACGGGAGGAGTTGAGGGATGAATGGAGGAGACAGGACGAATGATCAATGATGGAGATGGGGGGGGGGGGAGAGGCCCATTGAAATGCAGGAATTGAGGACACTGAAGAGGGAGTTGACGGGACAAAACACTCACGATCCTCGTCACCTTGATCGGAGAGGCCGGAGGAAAGGTTGATGATAGCGAAATTGTGCCGATTGGGCAATTTGAATACCCCATACGGAGAAAATAAGAATGAAGGTAGTTTTCAAAAACATCCTTCTCTTACAAGAGAAAAACTTCGAGTCAAGCTGTCCTTTTGACTCCAGACCAAATCCATCTTATAGAGTCGGCCATGGGGAGCCCGAATTCATTTTTATTTTTTTGCAGAACGCTTCGCAAACGTGAGACATTTGAAAAAAAAAATATCATGTGTGGCATAAAATATCACCATCTTTTCTTCATCTTCGAGCCTTCCAGCCTTTGAAGAGGCCGTCACACGCTTCCCTGATGACTGCTTCGGTGGTCTTGTGGATAGTCTGCTAGTCTACCGAACCTATTAAATTGTGTTGTAGTAATTGTAGTTCAACTATTCTGGGCGTTTAATTGAATCGAAGGATTGCATGAAGACTGACTACCAATGGGTAACTAAACCAATTGGGTAAATAAATCAAAGTTTAGTTCGTTAAAAGAACCGATTTGGATTGCATTCATGGGGTGAATTAGGCAATAGGACCAAACTGGCGAATGAACAAAATAGTTGAAGTCGGATTGGATAGGATCCAAAACATGGGCCAAATTTCATTTACAACTTACCCACTCCAGGGCATCACCCCCGTCTTCTCCACTTTCACATTAACAGCGGTCTCCGTCGATCGAAATATTTTGATCCGACATCAGATAAAGAAACCATTAAGAATTAAACACGCATTGAGGGTCATTGCGGTGAGTTTGACTGCAGATAGGGAAATAAAGAAGTAGAATTGGATAAAGAATAAAGAATTGGCAAGAAAAAGTAGTAGAAAAAGTAGAAAAAGTAGGGAAAAAACAGGCCAACTATCAATGACTGGTTCAAGAACTGAATCTTCAGGGATTCGCCACTTTCGCCTCACTAATCTCACTGCCAACAATGCTCAAGCAACGTCTCGGGCCATTCCCAAACTTTTGCGGCGAATTTTGCACAGAGGTTTGGGGAGACCCGACCGATGGAGGAGATCAGAACGGAAGTGAGCAAAACTTTTTATTTTAAAGTCTAAGATCTTTGTATCACGATCTACCACCATGAAAACCCATTACAGAATCTATGGTGGTGTCCTTTTGATCATGCAATTCGTGATCCCGTTCACCATTATCATTATCTCATATACGGCAATCTCGCTAAGGATTGGACAAGTGGGGAATGAAGATTTAAGTGGTAATCTTTCAACTTTTAGAGTATGATCCTAAAAGGCACTTAAAAGCATGGCTCATGCAATTGGGAAGCAAATCTCACAGATCAACAAAGAATAGCTTTGAAGAAAAGACAAAAAACGAATTGGATGTTGATTGCGATGGTGGTCGTCTTTTCAGCTAGGTTTGTTTTCAAACGTTTAAGCTGTAAGCTCAAGACTTGAATGACTCCCTGCTTTGTTAATTGAAACATTTGATAGATAAGTTTCCTTTTAGCTGGTTCTGGTCGGTTGCTTACAATGCGCTCAGGAATTATAATTATTTGCCGGATGTGTTGAGAGATCAGGAATATTTGCTGGGAATTGGAACGCATTGTATAGCGATGACGTCAACGGTGAGTGAGATTAAAAAAGTCTAAGGTGACAACTTTTAATCTAATGAATAGAGATCAAAGACAAGCCAAAGAGAAGGTCAGATTGGACTCGTTCTGAGCTAGATTAGGGCTAGGTCAGACTTCAGGATAACCCAGGCTGGGCCCAGATCAGCCAGACCAGAGTAGGCTTGTGCCAGGCCAAAAAAGCCAGTGTGCCTGGAAGCTGAACTAATTTGTTGACCTAGCCTAGTCCTTCATCGAATGACATTTTTTGATCGAAAGCCCTGAGAAGAAGATAATCCTGGTTCACAACATCCACCAAACCTTGTACCAAGAAGCGGTTTTTGCCAAATAGGACCATTAAGGAAAATTAAAGGAAACGGCTACCAAAGAGGCATAATTGATGAGAGAAGACAAAATCAAACGAGACATTTTTTCCGAAGCAAAAAACGGATTTCTTACCACGAAAAATAAAGGGAAAGGAGGGGAAAGCCAAATTTAAAAACAGACAGAGATTTGCACTGTATTAGTTGTGACATACTTCTGATAAATCCACACACATTATCCGAACACCAACTATTCTTCGTCAAAAAGTCTCCAGTTCTTTGAAGATGGAATTACTGAATTGAGCAAAAGATGGCCTGATGTCCTCAATAATAATGGAGAATACCTTTTATTGTAATCCTCTTTATTTATTGTTTTTTTCAAAATAATAATTCGGGTCACAAAAAACTCGCATTATTTGCCCGCCAACCTAATTCAATGACATGTCGTTCTATTTCTCAACGCCTCAAAATCGACCGTTCCAAAAAGTAGGTAAGGGGGACCACATGATTCAAAAATTTAGAATTCATTAAAAACTATTTTAAATGATGACCCAAATCCAAATCGTACAAAAAACACGTTTAAAAATGAAACTATTTTCTTAACCGCGAACCCCTTTGAATCTCCAAAAAAAAATCCATTTGGGGGACCCTTATATTCTTTTTTCAAAATGTTATTTCACTAAATGTTATCTCACTAAAAGTTTTTATCAGAACTGATCCGTGGCTAGAGAATTTTATGAACTAAGAAGGTTCAAGCATTTTTTTAATAAAAGTTCGAAAAGAGTCGAGCGTTGAAACGGAAATCACGAAGACTTTCGCATTTCATAACGTTAAAATACTCTTGTTTCTTGAAAATCTCAATGAATTTGGAACAAAAAGTTTATGATAAGAATACAATAGCAAAAACACATCACATCTCATTGCGTCTAGCAAATATCGCCATTGTTCCCTCATCCTCCAGGTTCACAATGCGTGCGTTCATTTCCAAGTCAATCGAAACCAGGGATTTGTCCCATGAAGTCAACTTTTCGAAATGCTCATCAACTTCTTTTACGTCAATTCTGTAGAAATTGAACGAATAATCAAAACAAGGGATTTTCTCACCAGTTTTATAGTTTTTCGGATGATCGAGTAGAACAAAATATGTCTCTTCTCTTTTCCTTTTCCCACTTTGACCGGTATCACTTGGGCATCGCAGGAAAAGAAATGCGCCAACCTGATCGAAATTGTCTGTAGACTTTAAAGACAATTTTTCAAGAGGATCACCCCTAAACGGGCCAGTCATCGATCCTCCTTCTCTCACTTTCAATTGATCGTTCAGGGCTTCTCGAAATTCTGTATAATTTGTAACAATTCAATAAAAGGCTGTTCTGTGCATTCATAGTACGGAATTTGCATCTCTTTGGGAAATGGATATTCAGAATCATCAGGAACACCGAATTTCAGTGGACATCTCAGTTGACAAGCACAAGGCAATCTTGGCGGATTTCTGAGCTGAAAAATGTAAGCAACATTGAATTGAACGAATCCCCCATTCGTGTCGATTGGAATTCCCAATGTGATCCTCTAAAAAAGATAGAATTAAGTAAATCTCGGCTTTTTTAAAAATAAATCGATCCAACGATGTTAGGAATTTGCAAGCTCAGCCCAATTAGTTGGATTTTCGGGGGAAATGGGCACTCTGAAATAAAAAACGGAAAATTTTCTAAAAACCAAGTAAATCTACTGTTTGTGCTCAAGGAAAATAGAGCCTTGGATCGGGATTTGGCAGGTTTTCCTTTGAGGAGAAAGATTGGCTTTGAGATTTATTTTTTAGCCCTCACTTTGTCCAGCTTTCTCCTACCGTGTACGGTGGAGTGGTGCGTAAACGCGCACTTCCTGGCGCATCGACTTTCTCTTTCGGCAGTTCTCTTTCGACTTTCTCTTTCAATTACCGAACCCTAGGCTTTTCTTGCCGTTTTCATCATAACGGGGACACGGGAAATCAGATGGCGTTTTTTAGTTTTTGTCCAAACGAGCTAGACTTCTCTAAGAATGCATTTGAAATTTGACCTCCTAGTGCATTGAGCGACTTATGTGTTTGTAAGGGCTACCGTCGCTGTCTCTGACTCGGTGGTGCAGTGGTAGTGCCGCTGTCGCCGAGTTCGATACCAAATTCGGGTTTGATATCGAGTATTCCTTATCATTCACCCAGCGTTTAACTTCGTTAAACTTTTCTCTTTTTCGTCTATAGAATAATATTTTGTGCAGTTGGCTAGGTTAGGTTTATTGTTAGCCAAAACTGAAAGCCCTCTGGGACCAAAGCCAAATTTCAGAAAAACAAAAGTATTCAATGAACCAATATGCTTCACTTTATTGTTATTATATCCCGCTCCTTTTGCCAAAATATGAAAAACCAATCAAGATGAGAAAAGAGTGAAAAGAAGAAAGGGATAAGGAATTCCTTTCTTGCAAAAGTTTTTGCCCTTACCGCCTAGCTGCCTTTCAAATTTTCATTTTATCTCTTCTGGTATATTTTATATTATTTGTGCTTTAGGTCAAAGCCTTAGTCAAGTGTGTCAAGTGGTGTTTAGTGTTGGGATACAATCCAGAACAGACCTGTAAACGAGTCGAAGCGGGCAATCTTTTGACTTCGCATTGAGAAGACCACATGTATACTAGACATGGCAATCGGACTTCTTCAGATCGGCCAATGCCTTAGGTTAACAGGAGAACTCGGATAATTTGTAAGCCAAATAATCATTACTGACTGATAAGGTCGGACTGATACGATACTGTCCGATTGTCATGTCTAATGCTTATTCCCAACAAGAGTTGGTGTTGGGAATAACCCGACCCACAGAGGCTTTGCTTTTGAATTTTTCAAGCCTCGACAGCAATGAATCCCAGAAAGGAATGACCGCACAGTTTGCAACGGTATTTTTAAACGTTTTGAAATCAAATTTTAAAGTTTATTGAAACAACAACGTTAAAAACAAGATCAATTAAAATGTCCCAGATCAGATGATAAAAAGTTTAGAGCGAATTTTTGTGCTGCATATTTTAGTACTTGTAGTTTTCCTAGTAATGCTCACTAGTGTTCTTTGTGCGCCACGTGAAGAGCTTACTGAAATCGAAAAAAAACCTATGAAAAGAACCTTGACCTCATCTTGATCCTACCATTAGGAGAATAGAGTCAGTGCATATAGGTTACAAAAATAATCGTCTTTAAATCAAAAATCCGAAATCCAAAATTCCAGGAAAGTTGAAATTGAGAGTATTTGTCAATCTCAGGTAGGCAACCCAGGTGCATAGACAAATACAGACTGAACTTCTGATCACTGAATCCCTTCACACTCGGCCATAATCAGTGTGGCCTCCTTAATGAAATCCAGCAGACAGCTCAGTTCTCCTGTCTACACTGGCTCGACTCGACTCGAATAATGAGCGTCTCTCGATTTTCTCCTCTCATCCTCGATGTCCGGGTATCTGAATGGTCACTGATAGACAGCTAGATCTTCAAACCATTCATTTCTTTTCCCTCTTTTTGGATCACTTCGGGTGATTCAGAGGAACTTTTCTGGGAACACTTACAGAATCAAACTAAAACCTTATAAAATGATTTCTAGGTGGCCCTCGCGATGTGTCCAAATCAATCTCTAGTCGATTCGGCAAATAAGATCAACTTTTCAGCAGAACAATTTTTGGCGTAACGATGGTTTCCACACTCGATGAGTCAAGAGAACTCTTTTCTAAACAATTCGAGAGTCAGCGAAAGCTTTTGCAAAAAAAACTCATTTGTTTATCTCATCATTCGCTTCCCTGATTTGTCCGAATTCGAAAGCGAAACGCCAACAAATCAATCGAAATGGGTTTTCTGGCCATCTTCATCACTATTCTTCTATTTTTCACTCAATCTTCGATCCAACAAAACATCGATCCATTCGAATTCGAGTTTCCCTTGACAATGATTCCCCGTTTAATTTGATTTAGCAGTGAGAATCACACGGATGCAATTCGTTTGGAGACTTGTCGACGAATGTTGTGAGTTTGACTTCTATAAATTATCGTTCATAAACTATCAATCATGGCAGAGAACTCGAAAGAAACAACAAAATGGTCGAGTTGGCGTTGATGGGAAAGAGATTCTCGACGAAAATAGCAGAGTTGTGAGTTTTGGGACAAGAGCTCTTGAGAATTCTTCAAATAATTTCAGAAACCAAACGATTAATTTTATCACAGTCGGCAATTGGACATATTTTGGAAAGACCAATCATTTGTACAAGGTTTGGTGGGTTTTGTTAGGAAAAGCTCTTCTACTTCTAAAAGGTATTCGATGAACGACTCGAATTCGACAAAGCCCACATATTTTGTGTGGCTCAAAACGGCCATTTGGCATCGATTCACAGCCAAGAAGAGAATGATTTCGTTCTGGGACTCGGTGAGAAATCGAATGAATCTTCTCTTGAAACTTGAGATTTCAAAAATTAAAAAGGATGATTTTAGTGACTTTTAGTGCAAAGAATTCAAGGTATACAAATTTCTCTCAATTTCAGTCAAGGCCAACTACTTTTTTGGTGAGGAGGGCACCTTGTGGATCGGACTGAAGGTCGGTCCATCAATAATTTAAATGCGAAAATAGAAAGACTTTGTTTAGCGAAGAAACGGTAAAGTGGGAAATCCTTTGGAATGGACCGATGGAAGTGCTGTGGATTTCATGAATTGGTCATCCAACGAGACGAATCCGGACACGCATGCCTATGTGGAATACCGTAGATAAAAGAGAAACAGAGCTCTCTTCTTTCAGCTTTATGATGGCAGCAGCGGGAAATGGTCTCTCTATGCATCTGTCCGGCGGCTATTTGTCTGCAAAAGAAAGAAAGAAAACTTTGACCGAAACGCTGAATTGTAAGTCTGAGCTGAACGCTGAGCATTTTGATAATTTTTCGGATAGTTTTGATGATTTTTTGACTAATTCTATTCTCAAGACCCATTCCACCCAATTTATTCGATTCTCCTTCAGGAAATCCATGCTCTCCGCCGTCAAAGCAAATAAAACGACACAGTTGGAGACTGATTTGTGAGTTCTTGGAAGCAAATAAAAGCGATGCATATTGTTGGTTAACTCTCAAAAGGGTCACTTGAAAACATTGTAGGCAGCTACAAATTTAATTAATGAATTGCAGAAATCAAAGGATTACTTTTCTTTCTTGGACATATTTCCCGAGGACGAATTCTTTCTACAAGGTTTGCTTCTTTTTCATGGAATCATGAATAGAAACTTCAGGCAATCGATCGAAATTTCGAACATAATAAGGCTGAAGCGTTTTGTGTGGAACGGGATGGCCATTTGGCGTCAATTCACAGTCAGGAGGAGAACGATTTCGTTTGGGGACTCGGTGAGAAAATAGAGGGAGCTGAAGAGATCAATAAACCACGATTTCAGCAAAAGATCTCGACTCACGCAATGGATTCTGGATCGGACTACAGGTTGATCCACCCAAACTGAAGATGCGAAATAGTTTCTAGAAAGTAAAATAGGAAAATGTCGACGAAGGGTTTTGGTTGAAAAAAACTTGAAATGGAAATAATAGCCAAAATCGAATAAAAATGGTTTTTCAGAGAAATCCGAGAAAAAAATTTGCTATCGAATGGACAGACGGAAGTGCTGTGGATTTTGCGAATTGGCATGACGAAGAGCCGGACCGGCGATTGCAAGGCAAAGTGAGATTTCCATCGCGGAGTTTGTGAACCCATATTATCGTGATCATTGAATGGCTGTTATCTTGCGACATGAGAATTTCCATATCAACGACGAGTCTCTTTCAGATCTCCGGCACTAGCGGAACGTGGAGATTCACTTCAACGGATTTTTATCCCTTTATCTGCAAAACAAGCTCTCCATTCTGATCATTTTCAATCTTTTTGTGTTTTTCTGAATAGCTCTGGCAATAAAAGAAATATTATACCCTGTCGGGCAACAAAAATCAACATAGCTAGTCTCATTTTCTTTGGCTAACTAATAGCGCTGGATGACTTAGGCAATTTACAGGGTGTTCCACAGTTACTCATACCGGATAACTAGCTTGAAAAAACTCTTTTTAGTATTAAACTTGTGATGAAACTTTTATTTTTAACAAATTAGATAGTAAAGTAATGGAAAAACAACAATTATTGGATATGTCCTCCTTTCGCGTTGACACAGAGCTGAAGGCGCTTCGGAAAGTCGTCGACCGTGGCACGCAAGTAGGGGAGATCCAATTCATCCCATGCTTTTTGAAGAGCCTTCTTCAAAGAATCAAGAGTTTTGTGCGGTTTTTGACAAGCCTTAGCTTCTAATATGGCCCAGACGCTGTAGTCGAGTGGATTTCGGTCCGGCGACATTGGTGGCCATTCGTTGAATCGGATAAAATCTGAAAAATTCTTGTCACAACAATCCTGAACTGAACGGGCTTTATGGGCAAATTGCTTTCCTGAAAAGAAGAGAAATCCTGAAAAAAAAGATTTCGAGAAGATTGGTGACGAGAAGAAGAAGTGAAAAGGTTTTAAAATCAGAAATTAAAAGTGAAATAGACATTGAACTTTGTACTTTTCTTTATTTAACCGTAATCAGATATGTGTTTTTGGCAAACTTTATCCGAACACTGACTCTGGTTGTTGCTCGAAAGCAAGCTTCAATTACCGTAACCGAGCCATGTCCAGTTACCGTAACCCAGTCTAAGAAGGGAAGGTCAATTGGCTGAGCCAGACAAATGCTATCGGACCAATACCATTCGACGCGGAATTTTATGCGGATTCCGAATGTGTATTCGGTTTTTGCTAAATGACAATTTGCCAGGAGCTATAAGCGTCTAGTTTAGTTAGAACTCTTAAAATGTGGCCATTTGGGTCTTAGCGGCCTCCTTGTGGACCCAATTCGGTGCAGCCGAAGCCGAGTGGCACAGCGTTCGTTTCGAGGCCTCACAACCGACGCTTTTGAATTTTGTTTGGCTTTTTGTAAAAGTATAAAAACCTTTATAGAAGTGTGATGACAGTGTGTTTTCCGCGCGCACAAAGAACACTAGTCAGCATCTCTAAGAAGTCGGGGACTTGAAACAATAACTGTTGATACAATTTTACATCTAAAGCTCGGTTATGGAAACTTAATTTATGGTTTTGGTTCTGGCCATGGTTTTGGAAGTAAAAGAGTGTCTTGTTAAAGCAAAATGGCGTCGATTGGCTCTACGATTTGGCCTTTCCAAATCGTTTAAATCTGAAGATTTGAAGGAAAAGTTGAAAAAGTTATGTTCGCATAGGCTCGATTTTCAAGCTTTAACGATTTCCCGAAGATATGCAGGTCTATGTGAATGCTTGGAGAATTTTGGTGATTTCTGCAAATTCTCCTCAGTGACAAACGATCGGATAAAGAGATTAGCACAAAAATCGATAAATGCAAAAGTCTGCTGGGAAAATAGGAGAATATTATCTGCTCTGGGACATTTTAATTGATCTTGTTTTTAATGTTGTTGCTTTAATAAACTTTGAAATTTGATTTCAAAGCTTTTCAAATACCGTGGCAAACTGTTCGGTCATTTCTTTCTGGGATTCATTGATGTCAATCAGAATGCAAAAAATCATCTTGAGGTTTGGATTCAAGATTTTCTTTTATATTTTAAGAATCCAACTATCAGATGTACTAATTTTCAACGTATTCATCCTCCACCAGCTTCTGAAGTTTTGGATTTGCTTAAAGCATATAAAGTAAGCTTTTCTAGAAGATGTTCATTTTCTCGTCTATTATTATATTGGGTTGGAAAGTATGGAACTACCTTTTATTCCTAATTTCTCATTCTACCATAAAAATAACTAAAATTTTCATCGTTTATTTAGAATTCTTCGAACTTCTTTCTCCTGCTTTTTTCTAGAAATTTCTCGAACTTTAAAATTTTTCTGTGAGAATAGCTGAAAACGGCCGAATTCAAGTTGATTGATGTTGACAAGTCTTGTAAATCCGTGTTCCATCACTAAAGTTCTTCTTTCTTTCAAAATATACAGCGGGATCTTTCAAATAGTTAACCTTAAAATTTCAGCAAATTTCGTGGTTCAAACAACGAGTAAAATACTACAAAACAGCGAGTTAGTTTGTTTGTAGAAAATTTGTTTGTAGTTTGTAAGTTTGTAAGTTAGAAAGTTTGTAGAAAAGCATTTCATACTTGGGTAATTGAACCAAAAATAGCCCGCTGGGTACCAGATGGTGGGCGTTTAGGCAGTTTTCACTCAGAGAACGCTTATTTTGGAGATGTTTCGCCGTAGGTCAGCGTGGATATCATCACCAACAAGTGCTTTTCTAATTGTTTTAAAAATGAATTTAGCTGAGATTTTAAGGCTGGCTATTTGAGAGGTTCCCCTATATAGTTTGGAAGAAAGAAGAACTTTAGTGATGGAACACCGATTTAGAGGATTTGTGAACATAAGTCAACTTCAATTCAACTTCCGGTCGTTCTCAGCTACTTTTTCAAAAAAGATTTTCAACCTTGAATACTTGGTAGTCCAAAGAATTCGACATAAAACAGGAAAATTTTAGTTATTATTATGTTGAAATAAGTGAAAGGAAATTTGTGAGTGCGCTACAAAGGTGGCGTTTACAAGATTTGATCGCAAAGTCTATTGCAGAGCTAAGACCCTAAGCTACAGCAACCGTAAAGAAAAGGTACCGTTTTGAAGAAAATTCTACATTTGTGAATTTTACAAAATTCCGTTTTTCTCTGTGTTTAGTAATAACATATCAATCAGAGTAATAAATTTATTTGACTATGAATGTAAATTAATATCGACAGAACCAAAAAAAACAGAAATCCTTTTAAGAGTCAGAGGAAATAGGGGAAAAACTAAAACTGATTAGTGACTAGGTTTGGACACATTAAACATCAAACATGGTCAGGTTTAATTTTTTGGAGCAAGTTTGAAAATGTTTGTTTTGGAGCAAGTTTGAAAATTATAAAAGTTTCATTCCAATTCTCCTTTTGGTGAAAATCTGATTTCTCTTCTTTGTTGGTTAGTCTGAAAATTGCAGTTATTACTGAGAAGGGGCAGAAAGTAGGTTTTATGAACGGTTTCGTAGATATTTCAACGCTCTATTTTAATAAATACTTTATTCATTCAAAAAGAAAAAACAGATGGTATAAAGAGAGATAGAGTCCAAAACTTTCTCTCGTAAAATAAAAACCCTGAAATTGTGAAGTCAGGAAGGCTAGGATAATAAGCATTTTTTAAGAGCAATAAGCATTTTTTCTTTTTCTTTTTTTATATCTTCAGTTCGTTAAACCCAAGCCATTTTGTTTTTGGATTTCCTTGATAATCAATTAAGCGGATGAGGAGATCAGGCCATTCACTAGCCTTCATCAAAGCATAGACCCTATCATTCAATTGTGGCTCTTGAAAGTATCCTCTTAATATTCCCACATCAATATTATGAAGTTTCATCTTCAAATCCAATCCAGGAATACTTTCCCCATTTTCATAATTATTTGGATGATCCAAGAGAATCAAAAATGGAATATCTAAGAGATTTTGACCGCAAAGAAATAAAAATGGGTGTTTCATGAAACGAAAAGTCAGATCTCCATTAGATTCTAGACAATCCATGTAGCTGTCCAGAACCAAAACCTCATTTTCCGTGATTTCACCACATATTGTAATGTGCAATTCTTTAGGTAAATCTGATAGCCTTTTCTTCGTTTTTCTAAATCCATCCATTTGACACTTCCCTGAATGATTCTTTTGACAAATTGGACGAGGAGGATTTCTTAATTGGAATATGTAGTGCGGGAAGGGATGGGGCCCATAGAATCTTTTAGATCTTTTGAAACCAGAAGATTCATCGAGAAGTGATTTAATATTAAATGGAACATTATTCTTCTCCGAATCTTCTATTGGAATCAGATATTTCAAGTATAATTTTATGGTCCTTTCATTCTTTTTTGTTGTTTTGTAAATGCCTTAATTATTTGTTCAAGAGAAATTGGTTTGTGATGGGAGAAATGAAGCAATTCAGGTTTTTTTTCTTCATTTTCAATTTTATAGCTCCGGACTTCAGTTCTTGGATTGTCTACCCATTGTCCTGGTATTCGTTTCCATAATCTTAAGTCTTCACTTACAAACCTATTCTTTTCTATTTGAATCCATTCCTCACCAGTCAATTGAGAAATAAAACATCGAAAATAGAAATTTGTTGTGTATTTCTCTCTTTTTATTCTTTTCAAACGGTTAATCGAATTCTCACACCACCTCCAATTGTCAAAACTTGATATCCAAATCTCCTCGTGACTCTTAAGCCAGCTAAAAGCCACGTTTTCCTCGCAGAGCTGTTTTCGAAAATCTCCCAAAACAAACCATTCAAATATTTCATAAATATCCTTTTCATGTAGATTTTTCTTCTCTCCTTCTATCCTCACTATTTCCCCAATCACATAACGAGCATCTTTGAATGTCTGAGTTTCTTCTTTTAATCTTAAAACAATATTTGGTGCTTCTTTGTAGAAGTTGTCTCTTTCAGCAGAATTTATCGTTCCGAGTTTATCTCGCATTATTCTAGGGAAGATATCCGATCTATACTCCTGGAATCTCTTTTCATATTTCCTTTCCTCAGATTCAACCATAACCCATTCTGTTCCATCATCAAATCCAATCGGTTTCATCAGTTCTTTTTGCTTTTTTTCTTCTGTGGGCATAAAAGGGAGTGAAGAGATGAATTCATTTGCCTAGGTTAT